CCAGGATAGGTTAGGTTAGGTTTGGTTAGGTTAGGTCCCTCCATCGCGCCAGGCGCATTACTGATCGGGCAACGAGAAAAGCCTTCTGCTGGCTGCGAAGGGGGAGAGCCGGGGCATGGCGTTATAGGGACGGCGGTTTGCGCTTTGGCCTGTGGAGTAGAGCGCCATGAAGCAGTGGCTGTGACTTAACGGCGCTGTTATGTCAGGCGCTTATTTTCAAAAGCCGCGAATACACCAGGCTGTGTTTAATTCAAGCACGCAACAGTTTGGCTATTTGCCCACGGCTGTTGCTTCGGTGGCTTGATGTTATCTGGCTGATTGATTCATATCCAGGAAAGGAAATGACGCCTATGGCTTGAGGCACTTAATCACACAGGCTAATATGCCCTCTAGCGTGATTACGAGCGGAAGGGAATAGATATTGAATTGTGGGCAAGGGCCATGTAGCGGTCTATACTGCGTCCCGTACGATCAAGCGGTCTAATCAAAGCTTTTTTTTTTAACTTTAAACGATCAAGCGGCTTAATCAAAGCTTTAACTCTAAACGAACAAGCGGCTTAATCAAAGCTTTAACTTTACGCGATCAAGCGGCTTAATCAAAGCTTTAACTTTAAGCGATCAAGAGGCTTAATCAAAGCTTTAACTACGATCAAGTTGCTTGCACAAAAGCTTGAGTCAAGCGATTAACGCGCTTTACAATCAACGTCGATCAGGCCTTCAATCTATTGGGCAAAATCTCACTTTCACTAGATATGGGATACACTTATTGTTTATTTGCTAATAGTTGTTTTTTGAGCTGATGTGTAGATTTTGGCGGTTAGCAACGGTTTCGACGACTACTTCCATCGATTAATTTTATTACTCAAATTTTCTATCAATCACCATCATGTCTCACTTAAAACGTCAAACGGGTTTATACATGGTCAATCACTCTTAAGTCAATCGATTGATTGACACTCACTTAACTTTCTGATCTCCAACATAATTCAAATCATATAAGCGAGAACCTAAGTTTTTAGTGTGCGATAACCAAATAATAACTTTGACATGAGGCTGCTTCTAAATTGCGAGAAAATGCGATTTAATTTTGCTTTAAAATGGACAGTTTTTATTGATGGCTGCGATATGAGTGCTGGAGCGGCTCAAGTGGCATCGACGTTATAAGTGAATTAGTTCTAAACATTTTAGTGGACTATATTTCATTTTTTAGTGATTTAAAAAAAACGCGTTAAGACTAATGTTCAAATAATTCTGAAATTGAAATCACACGTGAAGGAAAAAAAATTCCTAACAGAAAATTTCAACGTAAAATGTAGATAGAAGACGAGATGCCCGTATATGTATATTCGTTTTGGTGTTAACATTTCTTTTCAAGAAGGATCAGAAACCGTTTTGAGTTTTAGAATTTATTACATTTGTACAAATTCTGCTCAACAGACTTGAAAAAATTCGGCCTTATCCATGACGAGATCGCATGGTGAAACGCCAAATTACATCACTTAGAGAAGTGTATGGGTCACATTGTCCAAATAGTAACACTTTCTGCACACAGCACGAGCAGAGAGCGGGCGTAGCACTGATACGCTCTTGTTGACGTTGCCAAACAGAACAGGATGGCCGACACAAATCGAAAAGTGCATCGCTATTTTGACAGTCCCATTAATTTTTCTGAGTGGGACACCTCCTTAGCTATACTACCAGCGTCGTATTTTTGCTAAACTATACAACAAATCCACAATGGAGCAGGATTACATCTCATTAAATTAAATAAATTATATGCATAAAGTAAAGAGTCTTCGAGGAGGGTACAGAAAGAATATAGAAGAAAGCTCGTCAGTATTCAAAATTAGAAAGTAGATTCAAAATTAGAAAGTGGTAACTCTGAAGTACATGTTGAGCCTTTCACTATAGAAAAATATGAAATGAAGTGCATGAAAGGCAGCGCTTCTCCAGCGGTGGCGTTCAATATCAAATAAAATATCAGAGCCTTTACTGTCAAAACTCTCTTAAGTACACGTTGCGGCCTAGGTACACGTACACGTAGCAACCTAAGTTAAACGTTGCGGCCTAGGTACACGTAGCAACCTAAGTTACACGTAGCGGCCTAAGTACACATAGCGGCCTAAGTTACACATAGCGGCCTAAGTACACATAGCGGTCTAAGTTACACGTAGCGGCCTAAGTACACATAGCGGTCTAAGTTACACGTAGCGGCCTAAGTTACACATATTAAGTTACACGTAGCGGCCTAAGTACACATAGCGGCCAAAGTTACACGTAGCGGCCTAAGTACACATAGCGGCCTAAGTACACATAGTGGCCAAACTACACGTAGCGCCGATTTCTCGTCCGTGATTGGTTGGTTTAGCTTGAAAAGCCGTCAGTAATCGAGTGACGGAGTTACAAACTTGTAACAATTTTTGGTATTACGGTCTCAGATGTTCTTAGCTACGAGAAATCGCCCTCCACAGCGACACTTTGCTGTTAATGGTTAGCCGTAGATTCTTCTAGCCAAAACAAAATAGAAATCAGCAGCTTTGGAAAAATATTTGATAAAGTAACCCATTTTATTAAATTTATTTGATAAAGTAATCCTTTCGCGACCACGTGAAGCTTGGGTGGAAAAAGTGTCAAATTATTGACTTTCTTGAACAAGTTTATGGTGACAGCGCCTCAAATAAATCAGCAACCTACAAATGGATTAGTCGGTTCAGAAGCGGAAGAAATGACACCAAAGATGACTCATGCAGAGGCGTCATCTTTGCGACTGCGAAAAGCAGGCGCACAGCCGCGGTTGATGTTAATGGGGTGATCCCACGATCAGCAAGATCACCAGAAGAACATCAAATGATCAGCAAGATCACCAGAAGAACATCAAATGATCAGCAAGATCACCAGAAGAACATCAAATGATCAGCAAGATCACCAGAAGAACATCTAATGATCAGCAAGATCTCCAGAAGAACATCTAATGATCAGCAAGATCACCAGAAGAACATCAAATGATCAGCAAGATCCCCAGAAGAACATCAAATGATCAGCAAGATCACCAGAAGAACATCTAATGATCAGCAAGATCTCCAGAAGAACATCTAATGATCAGCAAGATCACCAGGAGAGAGTGATCTGATCATCAGGATCTTCGATAGGATCAAGACTCAGGGACAGACGTGGAGATCCTGAGCCCGTGCATGTCCTTGATCTGCTCGGCGAGCGCCTGCCCAGGCACCGCAGATATTCGATTAACCATTCCATAATTCAAGACAAAATTGATATTGATTATGTTACTTAGTTATTATTATAATTTCAATTATTAGCTTTAGTCTAAGCAGCTCAGATTGATTTGCATGAACTGTTAAATCTGTTGAACTGATAATCCCGGAGTAAACAGGAATTCTTACCAAGGTACCAAAAAAACATGCTCCAATAAGCATGTAATATATTACAAACAAATTGTTACAAAAAATGCCTAATTTTTTATAAAATAAAGTAACACTAGAGAATTAAAAAAATATCTGAAAGTCCCACCTCGGTAACGATTTTTTGTTGCTTTGCGCGGGTCAGAAGTGCCAGAAAACAACACTAGACATTTTATTACAAAATAAATCGACAGTTTCAACTATCAATTAATGTGTGCTGCTTCGTGTGTAAGAAGTTAAGAAAATAACTCTATTGGATTTAAAGGAAATAAAAAATTAAGTGCCAGCCTCACCTCTGTAATAAGGTTGTGTCGCTTCCTGTGTAAGAAGTTAAGAAAATAACTCTATTGGATTTAACAATAATAAAAAATTAAGTGACAGCCTCACCTCTGTAATAAGTCTGTGTTGCTTCACGCGACTCAGTCCTTGGAAGTCGGAAGATTCTACCCAAACTTCATACATTGACCCACAGCCACCTGAGATGAACAAGTTATTAAACAGTATGAGAGAAAATATATTTGAGATATCTCAGGAAAATAATTGAAAATGTATAATTTAAAATTTATCGACTTCATTTGATAGCACGAGTCGAAACAATGAACGATTTTCCAAGCTGAAATTCTTCTTGATTTCAATATGCATTTTCATAATTATTACATATTTATATTCGAAAGTGAAATTCTCTCTTAGAGTATATGAAATATTTACGATTCAACACCGCACCATATTTGGACGTTTCGTTATTCATAAATTCTACATTATAGAAATGTTTACAACTGACGAAGTTTGCACCATGCGTAAGAGAACACACGACTATACATATATAGTAGTTCGGGTGTGAAAACTGCCAAAGCGCGAAAATTTGTTAATAGAATTTCTGGTTATGCTTCGCGAGTCTAGGAGCAGAGGCTTGTATTACAAACTGCGATGACGAGACGCATCAAAAGTGACGGGCATTGACAAAACGCATGACAAGTGACAGGAGTAGTGGCAAACACATGGCAAGATACTGGTGCAATGGCAAGACACGGTAACTTTCGTTACCACGAATACGGATATTATTTGGTTTAAATAGTAATTTGCTGTAGGATATGATATGCAGTTTTTTAGAATTTTCACAAAATTTTCAGAGTTTACGTAAAATAACGCGGATAAAAGAGCATCGCTGGCAAAACCGAGATGACAAAATCAAGATAGCATAACTGAGCGAAACAGCGCTTAGGCAAGCCGAGTCAAGAAGAAACGTAGGGTGAGTCAGCAATAGTGGGTCACCGGAGATGTCCTGTACGCGGACGGCGGAGGCTGTAGGGAAGCGCGTCTTCAGAAGCTCCTCCAGCCGAGCCTCCCCAGAGTCGCTGTCAGTGCCGGAGCAACGTCTCTGTGAACACTGCTACAGGTAGAGTTAACCTTAAAAAAATATTTAAATTAAGAATAAGACAGGGCACTTCATCGAAATTTAGTTAAACAGAAGCTAAATGAACTGGCACTTGTATAGTTTAGGACAGGAGTATGTGTGCACCTCTAGGATAATGAGTGCTTCGTCTCAGCAAACACTGCTAAAGGTAACATGGGGTGTGGTTAACCTTGAATAAATACTCAAATTAAGAACAAGACGAACCNCAAATTAAGAACAAGACGAACCACTTCATCAAAATTTATTTCATTAAAAGTCATATGAACTGGTTCTTGTGTAGTTTAGGACAGGAGTATGCGTACAGCTCTGGGATCATGAGTGCTTCGTCTCAGCGAACACTGCTATAGGTAACATGGGGTAGATGCAACGTAGAATTGAATATTTGAATTGAAAGATAAAAGTGTACTTTTCATAAAAATTGGCTTGATCAAAAGCTGAAGGAATCGGCACTTAGCACGTTGAGTGAGGTACTACTACACACCGAATATATTTAAGTACCGGTACTATGCGGGCGAGCGCCCCAGATACCTATCGTCTAGGGATTTTGAAAGAATTTTATGCATAGTGGGAGAACCGAAAAGTTACAGCAAAACTGAGACTTGGAAAGATTTGGACCGAAAATTGAAGTGTGATTTTCAAAAGAGTACATATAAATCAAATTGAAAGCACAAATGAAGTTATTTTTTGAATTTAGGAACGGAATTCAAAAGAGAGTTTTATGTAAAATTGAAAAGTTTTCCTTCAATTACCCACTATAATTTTACTTTTTTTTAACGAGATTTTAAAATTACAGGGATAATCAGCATTCTCGGGAAACATCAAGCTTACCAAGTTACCAGTTAGTCTAAACAGATTTACTTTTATCCAATAAATATACATATTTCCATTCACAAACTGTAGTAGTTCAGGTATGAGCAATAAGTTATTCGCTGCATGGACATTCTCAAGCATGAAAGTGTCAACGAGTTTGCTTAGGTTTCTCCTTCTACGACTCACCACCTGCGATGTGAGCGCTGTACGTGGTGGGGGCAGAAGGCGCCGTAATGCCTTCATCTTCACGACTATCAGGTTATAAGTACCTGAATAGTATATAAATGAGAGACTTTCCACCGATCAAACTTGTAGGTCCATGCTTGGTACGAAGATTAATTAATCAATCGTATATACAATAATATCAGTATAATTCGGCAGAAGCTTTTCTTTTATGCAAGTTTGATTGAAGACCAGAGCATGCTTCTTATTAATAATCTTCTTATTCGTCTTTTCAATGACTCGAACTAAGTTTCTAGCTGGCG